TTTCTTCAATAAAGAATAATATTCATCCTGCTCTAACCGAGAAATAATCAACTCAGTCTGTTTGAACCCATTAAAAACATAAAAAAATTAGGCTATTTAATTTAAGAAAAATTTAATCGCCTGCCTTCCATGGTCAGTCTTTCATGTACTTTTAAGTTTGTAAAGACCTAATATTAAATACTTGCATAATTTCGAACGTTCATATTTCAGGAAACACTGAGCTAGCTATAAGACTTACATGTAAGATGTCTAAATCTACGCCATATCCCTTACAAACCCTAACGATAATTCGCTGAAATACAAGTTAGCCTGATATGTCATTAAGCAAACAAACGCTGGAGTTAATATTTGATATGCCGATTTTCGCTAATTTTAGACACATCCTAAAATATGCTCCCGATTTTGAACATTAATATCTCCGTGAATTTTTAAGTAAAATACAACTGTAATGTATCAAAATCTAAGTTAGTCCTTCCTCTATTTAATGCAAGTTATTTCTCTTTAAAAGCTTTACTTGTTTAGAAGTTATTACGAATCAAACAGGAGTACTTTTTTTGGGACACCCGGTATATATATATATATATATATATATATATATATATATATATATATATATATATAGTATATAGTATATATATATATATAGTATATATATATAGTATATATATATAGTATATATATATATATATAGTATATATATAGTATATATATATATATATATATATATATATATATATATATATATATATATATATATATATATATATATATATATATATGTTACGAGCAGGAGTGTTTTATTAGGTTTAAAGCCACGAGCGCGCAGCGCGAGTGGCTTTAGACCTAATAAAACACGACCTGCGAGTTTTTTAAATGGCTTCAAAAACGTTTGCATAATAAGTCAAATCTTATATAAAAATATTTATATAAAAATCTTTATATAAAAAATCTTTATATAAAAATCTTTATATAGTTTGCATAACAATGGTCTTTTGTTAAAGTGTTCTTTAGCTGGTATAAAGACGTATGCACGTGACTAATTTCTTACTCGAGATTGGATAATTGCTTCATGAATTATTAATGAGTTTTTGAAATGTTTTTAGTCAACTACGCATTGTCACAACCGGCGAAAATGTCATCACCTCCATATCTTGTACATACTGCCTCTAACGCGGTCGATGGTGTACGACATGTAAATTTGGATACTGGGTCTTGTTTTCACACCACCAAAGGCCGAGGAGATTGGTGGTTTGTTGACCTCGGCGTCCTTGTTAATGTTTACGCACTTGCGATTACAAACAGAGGTATTCAGAGATTCATTTTGTATTTACAGTGAACCCCTATCTTAAGTAACACGGCAGGCTCATGCATTAATATTTTTAGTGCACGCGAGCAAAATTCATAACTTCAAAATGTTGCTGTGTTAAAAAGTCAGGATTTCAAAATTCAAAATGTGCCTGCGAGCTTCAATGACGCCTGGGCACCTACTTCTCCAGTTAATTAAGTAGATACGTTTTATTAGTGTTTTTCTTCCACAGATTAGTTTGCTTCAAAACTGGTACTGATAGTTTCTTTAATATTTAACTGTACTCAGTGCTCCTTCGCTGTGTGACATGCTGCTATTTTAGGGACCGTTCATTAATTATAGATCGGGAGGAGGAAAATTAGGGGGGGGGGCTCCAAAATAATTGCCAGGAAAAAGAGGGGAGCATCAAAATTTTTTTGTGTAATGAGGGGGACTGAGAAACTTATTCTTCATTTTTGTGAAAGTGTATAAAGAGAAAAACATCATCGCATACAAAAGTTTCCCAAATGGTTTTGTATGAACAGTTGTCACAAAAACAAAATTTTAATGGATCACTAGACAATAGTCAAGCTTTATATATTGTTCTATAAAATAATGTCAACTCAACTATCAGACAATATACGCGTTGATAGTCAACGGCTTTATACATTGTTCTATAAAATAATCGGGTCAAGTGTCAACTCAACTGTCAATTTCTATACTATTATTCCAACGTTTACAGACTGTAGTGGTCGCTTCCAAAAGGGGGGGGGGGGCTTGAACTATTTTCTCGAGTAATTATGGAGGACATGAAAACATTTTAATTTAAGGGGGTGGGTCAAAAAATATTTTAATAAATGTTTAATTTTACTCCAGCCCGCCCGTATGTATAATTAGCCATTCCGAAGTTGATGAGTGGACTGGGGACGAGTATTAAAAAGTGCCCAAATTAAGAAATGAACCAAATCACTAAAAAGACCACCTCAAAATTAGCAAGTATACAAAGTTTGAAGACGTTTACATGAATACCCTTGCAATAATAAGCTTTCGAAAATCGCGATATTTACTATGAAATGTACTGTAATTTCTGGACGCGCGTCCCAAAAACTGTCTTTTAATCAGTAATTTCACAATTTTCGAAAGCTTATTATTCGAAGGGTATTCATGTAAACGTCTTCAAACTTTGTAGACTTACTAATTTTGAGGTGGTCTTTTTAGTGATTTGGTTCATTTCTCAATTTGGGCACTTTTTAACACTCGTCCCCAGTCCACTCATCAACTTCGGAATGGCAAATTAACGAACGGTTCCTTATGTTTCTTGTTAATATGTACTGTAAAACTTCCAGATGACCGAGGCCTCTCGTCAAGGTCGCTAGACTTTGAGATTCGTGTCGGCGAAAACTGGCAGCCGACGAAGAATCCAACATGTACTGGCAATCATCCACTGGAAAATGGAGAAACAAGAGCAATATTTTGTTCGCATCCTATGCGGGGAAATAATGTGGGGATTATACAGAAAATGGAAACAGCTCTCAATTTGTGTGAAGTCTCTGTACACGGGCGTGAGGTGCTATCGATAACTTCCAACGAACCAGGTAGGTTTAGAAAAAAACGTTAAAGGAACGTCCAGTGTTACCTTCTGAGCAATGTGACTTAGTCGGTGTGAAATTTGAAAAGTTCACAAACTTTTTTTATAGAGAGCTTAAAGGACATTGGCAACAAAAAATCAGTTTGTCTCATTCTAAAGAACTCTTAAAATTATTTATAACATAGCATTTGTAAATTCTGAACGCTGATTGGCTAAGAGCCGTGTTGATATAACTCAATGTCAACACGGAAACGTCGGAAAATTTCTTTCTTTATATTTCTTGTGCTATATATCATACAAATATAAAACTTTTTTCCGTATTGATATATAGTTATATCAACACTCGTGGAAATTGGGAAAACCCGAAATTGTGTGAAAACACTCCGCCCTTCGGGCGTCGTGTTTCCACACAATTTCTCGTTCTCCTAATTTCCACTCGTTGATATAACTGTATATCAACACGGAAAATGTTTTATATTTGTTAAATATTAAACTCTATTACCGGTTTGTCGTATTTTGCTTAGTTCGCGAAATATTTAGACCGAAATTAATGAGCTGTCCGCCGTTTTGGACTAATTCTTGACCTCATTAACTATGGTTTTGATGACGTCAGGAGTCGGGTTAAACCACATGAAACTACTCTAAAATAACCGAGTAACAATCCAAAATTGTTTGAAATGTTTTTAATAATTTCTAAATTTCAGACAGCAACCAGATACGAAGTTTTGGACCCATATTATTCGTTTGATCTCAAGAGAAAAAATTAGCAGGACCCCTCTCTTGACATAACATGCATATCCTCAATAATCCAAGATGGCGAACAGCTCACTTTTTCCAGTCGAAATATTTTGAAGTCTTTGAAAACTAAGCAAGATATAAACAATATGCAATAGAGTTTAATATATAGTTTTAAGAGTTCTTTCAAATGAACTAAACTAATTTTTTATTGCCAATGACAATCAGGCCTTAAAATATCTTTTCCAGGGCCGTCTGACAAAACGTCCGGTGACGTTGAGTTTTGGTCGGACATATGTCCGATGACCTTCAGTTCATTTTTGACTCGGAAATAAGTCTGAATGACACAAATGAATAAACGGTAAAAGTTGTAAAAATATTAAATAATTTGTTTCTTTCATACTTATTTCCAAGCCAAAATTAACTTGCTTTCCAGAACAGCAGTATCAAAACCCGTTCTCGACTACGTTAAAACAACATTTCCAGTTGACTTTTTATACAATAGTGCACTGATTTTCCATTTAACACACAAGCCTCTAGTCCTGGGCTAGGATACATTTTGATTTACGTCGGACAAAGCTACAGTTCGGTCGGACACCAATTCACTCGGGTCAGACAAACAATAAACCTCAGTTTCACTTAGGTCGGACAGAATGTCCGGTGGTTTCCTTTCTACGTCGGACAATTTCACGAATGGGTCGGACAATGTCCGTGACCGACCGATATTTTAAGGCCTGTTGCCAATGTCTTTTAAGGTAGTCCTCCACCCTGAAAACACTTTTTCAAATTAAAGCTCTTGTCATCATATTTGAGTCAAGTACGATAGATTATGCTTAGCTGACACAGGATCAGTAACTTTTTACATTCATCTTTTCCATAGTAACTAAGATAGGCCTTGATTTTTTCTGTGTTGGTGTTGTGTACTCAGGTGAATATGATGCTTGTGATGTTACTCTGAGTGTATATCCACACCGGACAAGCTTATGTGGATTTTCACTCAGTAACATTACAAGCATCATATTCACCTGAGGCTGAGTACACAACACCAACACAGAAAAAATCATGATTAATAGATTGCATTGATATCGAAGGAACTAGATTCTGTTTCGAAATATCACTTACTCGAACCGACCTAACCGCGTAGCTCAGTTGGCAGAGCATTGGGCTAGTATTCCAAAGGTCGTAGGTTCGATTCCCACCGTCGCCAGGCATATTTTTCAAGCTTGTCCGGTGTGGATATACACTCAGAGTAACATCACAAGCATAAGATAGGCCGCCCTATTGGGTAACTGAATATAAGGTTTGCTCCAAAAAGGATGTGAGCCAAACTAAATTACCGAGGATCTTACAAACAGTTTTAATGGACACCTAACACGTTGATCTATAGTCGGGGAAAAATCCGACGTCTTTTCACGCGCTTATTCTTTGCTCGGAAAGTAAGGTCTGCGAACCCGAGTGGGAATTCGAAACAAAATTTTGAGTGAGTAAAAGGTTGGGTTTATGAAAAACAAAACAACTCAAGGGTTGGGTAATAAAAATTTATTGTCATTTTCAAAGCATGATTCACTCAAATATTATATGTCAATACAATATTATTAAATCAATCAATCAATCAGAGTCACTGTCTTGATTATTTGCTAACTTGTCAGGAGGCAAATGGTGTCTCCAAAGAAAGTACATATGTAAACAATATGAAACTTTTTAGACTGCAGATAATTGCATTCTTTTAAAAGTTTCTGACCAGGGGTGGATATTTATTTTTTAATTGATATTCGAGGTTGGGTAGAAAAATATTGGACTTTTGAATGGTTGAATTTTACCAAGAAAAACATTTCTTTTCGGCGCTACCCCCGCCATAAATAATATTTACTCCCTTATTTTACAACTTTTTTTCTATAGTTTGTTTGAAACCACGACCACTCGGAATGGAAGACAATACTATTCTCGACTCACAGTTAACAGCTTCGTCCGTATACCATGAGACTGAAGGAATGGATCAATCAAGGTTGAATTCAATACTTTCTGCAGGTGCCTGGTGTGCTAACAAGGATGCTGATCCTAAGCCATGGATGCAAGTAGGATTCCTATGGCCTGCTGCTGTGACTGAAATTTTGACTCAGGGTCGACACAGCAGTATTCATAACCAATGGGTGACCGATTTTGGAATTTCTTCAAGTAACGATTTTGTTGGCTATGAATCTTACAAGTATGGCATTAGTGGTGCGACGGTAAGACGACTTTCTAGCTTATCCAAGTGTGTCCTCGATAACATGCATCGTTTCTTCATGTGGCACCACTGAATGAACCAAGAAGGGATGCGTCTTACTGGACATCCAGGAAGAACAGTTTAGAACTGATAGAGCTATCCAGTATAAATAAAGTTGGTTAAGTTTAGGTTTCCTCCTGTGGTAACACTGGATCAATAAGAGATGATCCTTACTGGACCTCTAGGAAGAACAGTTTAGAATTGATAGAGCTATCCAGTATAAATAAAGTTGGTTAATTAAGTTAAGGTTTCCTTCTGTGGTAACAGTGGATCAATAAGAGATAGTCTTTACTAGGCCTCTAAAGTGAACAGTTTAGAATCGAAATTAGTGTTGTATTTAGCTTATTTTTGTGTGTGTGGGGGGGGGGGGGGTGCTAGTTTGATACTGGTTAATGTTCGACTCATTCATTTCCCAGGGTGATCAGTTTGGAACTGGTAAAGCTATCCAATATAAATATATAGAATTAGTTTAGGTTTTCTTCTGTAGTAACACTGGATCAACAAGGGAAGACCCTTACTGGACCTCTAGGGAAGAACAGTCAATTAAGAACTGATCTATAGAGCTATTCAGTATAAACATATGTAATGTAAAGCTGATTACTCCGGTTTCGTACTCGACCAGTAAGGGTCTGTTGAGCCTAGCTAACGGGGAGACTCACCTGAGTGAGTTATGCCCTTCGTTAACGCATATAAAATTTAAAATTCAATTTGTTCGCATGAGAAACGAGCCAGCCTGGCTTGGTGAGATCTCACTTTGCGCTAGGTGGCATCTTAGTCAGGTGGGATAAAAATGTTCCCTATGAAGGCTTTATTCCATCCGATTGGGATGGCTATTTTTGTCGATTTTGTCCTTATCATATAGTATTGAACGACATTGTCGGAAAATACAAGCAAAAAAAGAAATATTAATAAACGTTGAGCTACGTCGTACAAGGTGCATTTTGTTTAATGACAAAATAAAATAATTCGGGGTGGGATATTTTAGGTGGGATAGAAACAGTAATGCAAATTCACGCGTACTCCGGTTTCCAACTATGGATTGAAAAGGCTCGCTCTTACTGGTACTGGAGGAAGAAAAGTTTAAAAGATGTCCACTGCAAAAAAACTATAGTTCATGCCTAACTTTCAACACTTCCAAGTGGACGAAGGAAGAGCATTATATATTATTAAAAATCTCATTAATAATTCACGAGGAAAATACAAAAGAAATGAATGTTTAATCAATGTTTGTAAATCGGATAAAGATTTGTCCTGATTTACATAAACTTCAGTTTTGATTCTCTCGGGTTAGACCTTGTTTATTTTTAAAATCACTTCGCCAATGAACTCATAAGACGGGTCGTTTTTAAGCAAGTTTAAACATTCACATCCCATCTTTATCTAATATACAAACTCTCGCCTTCGGCTCGAGTTTGTATATCAGATAGAGATCGGCTGCTCATGTTTTAACTAGTACTTGTAAAACTCAATAAGTCATCAAGAAAACACAAAAGAAATCATGAGCGTGAAGGAGTTTGTATATCTGATACAGAAATCATGCTGATTTACATAAACTTTAAGTTCAATTTTCTCACCAAATATAATTCATTTATTTTAAATTGTTGAAGAATACGAATGTTCTCATCAAGACGTTTCACAAGCCATTTACAACATTTGTAAATAGTACATGTAAGTTTATAGGGCGTTATTCGAGGTGAGGTGTTAGACATCGCGCTGCCTAAGAGTAAATATGGTACTATTCCTACTGGTTTTTTTTACATTTTATATTTAACATTTTGTATTTTTTCTGTAATGCCAGGTGTTTCCAGGAAACGCAGACAGTGATACAGTAGTTCGTCATCGTTTGCAACCAGTTCGTGTCGTTCGTATAATTCGTATTCACATTCTCAGCTTTAATAATTGGCCTGCCATGCGTGTGGAGTTCGTTGGATGTTACTATAAGGATAAAGGTATACCTTCATAGTGATTTTGAATAGCAATAATAGCAACAACAACAATAGTAACAAACATAAAAACTGTATAGCTGGAGTAATACGAGTAACAAAATTGCTGCAACTTGCAACAAAATTTGATTTCTGCGCATGTTAATTGAAAATGTTTATACACATAAATTACAAGTCACGAGGCAATTTGTGTCGACATTTCTGCTTAACATGCATTGAAATTTAGATTTTGTTGCGAGTTGCAGCAATTTTGTTGCTTATATTACTCCACCTTAACAGTAACGACAACACTACCGAACTACATGAACGATAACAACAACAGCAGCGATATCTAATAACATCAACAGCAGTAAATACAACAACAGCAGCTGCATCAACAACAACAGCAACAACAGCAAAGCAACAACAGCAGCAGGAACAACAACAGCAGCAACAACAACAACAACAACAACAACAACAACAACAACAACAACGACAACGGCAGCAACAACGGTTCTAGTCATGACGGTATGTAATGAAATTTACTATTTAATTATCAGGATTTCCTCTCCCCCGAGCGCTCGGTATGCAAAGCAAAGAAATCACAGACGACCTTATCAGCAGTTCCACGGAACTGGCTGGGTCATATGGCAAGAAATATGCACGTTTAATGAGCCATGTTGCTTGGATACCCACCAATGAGGACACTGATCCATGGATACAGGTTAATTTCGTGTTAACCGTAACGATTATCGAGATTTTAACTCAAGGAAGATCAATTTATACCCAGTGGACACGAAACTACATGGTAGCTTTTGCACAAGAGGCAGATTATTTTCAGTTTTATCTCACGGAGAATAAGCAGGAAAAGGTAAAGTTAAGTTTCAAGCGTACTAATACAGGTACATTCGAACCTTTCAAATCGGACACCGGCGGAAAAGAGCAGAGTGTCCGAATTAGAGAGGTATCCATACCTAGAAGAGGTATCTGTATTAGAGAGGTGTCCGTATCAGAGAGAAGTCCGTATTAGAGAGATGTCTGTTTTAGAGAGGTCTCCGTTTTTTGTGAGATGTTTGTATTAGAGAGATGTCCGTATTAGAGAGATGTCCGTTTTAAAGAGATGTCCGTATTAGAGAGATGTCTGTATTAGAGAGGTGTCTGTATTAGAGAGATGTCTGTATTAGCGAGGTGTCCGTATTAGAGAGGTGTTCATATTAAAGAAGTGTCTATATTAGAGAGGTAACCGTATTAGAGAGGTGCGTGTATTCACAAGATGCCGTATCAGAGAGGTATCCGTATTAGAGAAGTGCCCGTATTATAGAGGTATCCGTGTTAAAGAGGTGTTCCATGTCCGTATTAGAGAGATATCCGTTTATTGTTTTATATTGAGTTTCTCACTCATTGGTGAGCGGATTTCCAAATTGCAAGCTATTACCAAATTGATAGGGAATCCGAGATACCTACGATTTAACGTCCTTATCCGATAAGACGCGAAAGTCGAACCATTTACTGTTGTCAATGTAAAGGTAGCACTTTCCCCTCAATTATTTTAAGACCTTGAGTAAAGGTCCGACCAAGGATTGAACACGGGTCTCCCAGCTTGAAAAACGACCGTGGTGACCACGTATCCGTATAGAGAAGTGTCCGTATTAGAGAGGTGTTCGTATTAGAGAGGCGTTCGTATTAGAGAGGTGTCCGTATTAGAGAGGTGTTCGTATTAGAGAGGTGTTCGTATTAGAGAGGCGTTCGTATTAGAGAGGTGTTCGTATTAGAGAGGTGTTCGTATTAGAGAGGTGTTCGTATTAGAGAGGCGTTCGTATTAGAGAGGCGTTCGTATTAGAGAAGTGTTCGTATTAGAGAGGCGTTCGTATTAGAGAGGCGTTCGTGTTAGAGAGGTGTTCGTATTAGAGAGGTGTTCGTATTAGAGAGGCGTTCGTGTTAGAGAGGCGTTCGTATTAGAGAGGTGTTCGTATTAGAGAGGCGTTCGTGTTAGAGAGGCGTTCGTGTTAAAGAGGTGTTCGTATTAGAGAGGTGTTCGTATTAGAGAGGCGTTCGTATTAGAGAGGTGTTCGTATTAGAGAGGTGTTCGTATTAGAGAGGTGTTCGTATTAGAGAGGTGTTCGTATTAGAGAGGTGTTCGTATTAGAGAGGCGTTCGTATTAGAGAGGTGTTCGTATTAGAGAGGCGTTCGTATTAGAGAGGTGTTCGTATTAGAGAGGCGTTCGTATTAGAGAGGTGTTCGTATTAGAGAGGCGTTCGTATTAGAGAGGTGTTCGTATTAGAGAGGTGTTCGTATTAGAGAGGTGTTCGTATTAGAGAGGTGTTCGTATTAGAGAGGCGTTCGTATTAGAGAGGTGTTCGTATTAGAGAGGTGTTCGTATTAGAGAGGTGTTCGTATTAGAGAGGTGTTCGTATTAGAGAGGCGTTCGTATTAGAGAGGTGTTCGTATTAGAGAGGTGTTCGTATTAGAGAGGTGTTCGTATTAGAGAGGTGTTCGTATTAGAGAGGTGTTCGTATTAGAGAGGTGTTCGTATTAGAGAGGTGTTCGTATTAGAGAGGCGTTCGTATTAGAGAGGTGTTCGTATTAGAGAGGTGTTCGTATTAGAGAGGTGTTCGTATTAGAGAGGTGTTCGTATTAGAGAGGTGTTCGTATTAGAGAGGCGTTCGTATTAGAGAGGTGTTCGTATTAGAGAGGCGTTCGTATTAGAGAGGTGTTCGTATTAGAGAGGCGTTCGTATTAGAGAGGTGTTCGTATTAGAGAGGTGTTCGTGTTAGAGAGGCGTTCGTGTTAAAGAGGTGTTCGTATTAGAGAGGTGTTCGTATTAGAGAGGCGTTCGTGTTAGAGAGGCGTTCGTGTTAAAGAGGTGTTCGTATTAGAGAGGTGTTCGTATTAGAGAGGCGTTCGTATTAGAGAGGTGTTCGTATTAGAGAGGCGTTCGTATTAGAGAGGCGTTCGTATTAGAGAGGCGTTCGTATTAGAGAGGCGTTCGTATTAGAGAGGCGTTCGTATTAGAGAGGCGTTCGTATTAGAGAGGTGTTCGTATTAGAGAGGTGTTCGTATTAGAGAGGCGTTCGTATTAGAGAGGTGTTCGTATTAGAGAGGTGTTCGTATTAGAGAGGCGTTTGTATTAGAGAGGCGTTCGTATTAGAGAGGCGTTCGTATTAGAGAGATGTTCGTATTAGAGAGGTGTTCGTATTAGAGAGGCGTTCGTATTAGAGAGGTGTTCGTATTAGAGAGGTGTTCGTATTAGAGAGGCGTTCGTATTAGAGAGGCGTTCGTATTAGAGAGGTGTTCGTATTAGAGAGGCGTTCGTATTAGAGAGGTGTTCGTATTAGAGAGGTGTTCGTATTAGAGAGGTGTTCGTATTAGAGAGGTGTTCGTATTAGAGAGGCGTTCGTATTAGAGAGGTGTTCGTATTAGAGAGGTGTTCGTATTAGAGAGGTGTTCGTATTAGAGAGGCGTTCGTATTAGAGAGGTGTTCGTATTAGAGAGGTGTTCGTATTAGAGAGGTGTTCGTATTAGAGAGGTGTTCGTATTAGAGAGGCGTTCGTATTAGAGAGGTGTTCGTATTAGAGAGGTGTTCGTATTAGAGAGGTGTTCGTATTAGAGAGGTGTTCGTATTAGAGAGGTGTTCGTATTAGAGAGGTGTTCGTATTAGAGAGGTGTTCGTATTAGAGAGGTGTTCGTATTAGAGAGGCGTTCGTATTAGAGAGGTGTTCGTATTAGAGAGGTGTTCGTATTAGAGAGGTGTTCGTATTAGAGAGGTGTTCGTATTAGAGAGGCGTTCGTATTAGAGAGGTGTTCGTATTAGAGAGGTGTTCGTATTAGAGAGGTGTTCGTATTAGAGAGGTGTTCGTATTAGAGAGGTGTTCGTATTAGAGAGGTGTTCGTATTAGAGAGGTGTTCGTATTAGAGAGGCGTTCGTATTAGAGAGGTGTTCGTATTAGAGAGGTGTTCGTATTAGAGAGGTGTTCGTATTAGAGAGGCGTTCGTATTAGAGAGGTGTTCGTATTAGAGAGGTGTTCGTATTAGAGAGGCGTTCGTATTAGAGAGGTGTTCGTATTAGAGAGGTGTTCGTATTAGAGAGGTGTTCGTATTAGAGAGGTGTTCGTATTAGAGAGGTGTTCGTATTAGAGAGGCGTTCGTATTAGAGAGGTGTTCGTATTAGAGAGGTGTTCGTATTAGAGTGGTGTTCGTATTAGAGAGGTGTTCGTATTAGAGAGGTGTTCGTATTAGAGAGGTGTTCGTATTAGAGAGGCGTTCGTATTAGAGAGGCGTTCGTATTAGAGAAGTGTTCGTATTAGAGAGGCGTTCGTGTTAGAGAGGCGTTCGTGTTAGAGAGGTGTTCGTATTAGAGAGGTGTTCGTATTAGAGAGGCGTTCGTGTTAGAGAGGCGTTCGTATTAGAGAGGTGTTCGTATTAGAGAGGCGTTCGTGTTAGAGAGGCGTTCGTGTTAAAGAGGTGTTCGTATTAGAGAGGTGTTCGTATTAGAGAGGCGTTCGTATTAGAGAGGCGTTCGTATTAGAGAGGCGTTCGTATTAGAGAGGCGTTCGTATTAGAGAGGCGTTCGTATTA